CGTAATCGGCTCGAATTCGGACATGTATAACTGAGTAAAACGACAGAGCAGAACTGACCATCCCAGTATCCTCAGCATTATTTGACAGTTGTTAAAAACAAAACTACACAGCTGGTGATACTAGAATACTTGAGTATCCACCGGAGAGCACATGAAGAACGCTAAAGACTCAGTACTCCTCACAATTGTCTCATGCAGCGCCAGAATATAAACAAACCCCATATCCTTTATGTATCTACTGTCTGTGCTGTCAAGTATGGCATATTATCGAACCCATGTTGAGTCCATACTTAACAATTGACGACCGTCCCAAAATGCCAACGCCAAATAACTATCTACGAAATTGAAATTTAACCGAAAGAGATTTAGAAAGCGACATAAGCTGGAACCTATGTACGTAAGAGACCTGTATACCTCAAGCAGTGATTGAATAAATTAAAAATTTAGAACAAGTAAAAAGTGATGGCTCCGAATGCCTAGCCAGGGTGGGTAGTTCGCTTTCTGAAGATGAAATAGTTAAACAAAACAGAGTAAATAACCGAAAGGTCTGGCAAATCGAAGATAATTTTAAGAGAACGACAAAATTTCCGTGTAAACCACCAAAAGGTGGAAGAAGACCAAATACGTAACGACAATAATAAAGGAGGAACAGAAGGTGACCAATCGACTATTGAAATACTGAAAGATGGGGGAACAATAACATTTGCTATGAACTTACCAGACATTTCCCATCCGGTAGGAGTACTTTTTGGGAGAATTTTGATTTACGCTCGCGTACAGCAGCTAGCTCCATCGGATGAGGCTGTTTCTTGCGATTACCCCGGCTACAAGCGTTTATAGAGAGCAGAAAGTTGAGAACATGCCAGCAGTGTGCCAAAACTGGCAGATTTCACAATAATAAAGGACATCTGCATGATTCAGATCAATAATTCCTAACCTTTTTGTGTGGTGTAACCGGACGTAGCATTGGGGCGCCATCATGTGGCTGGATCGGTGCAAAAAGCAAATTAACTTGTTCAAGATCCGCTCGGAAGGAAACATAATTCCACTTGCCAGCCAAAGGAGCTCCCAACCTCTGTCTTCACTCTGCCTAGAGCAAGAAAAGGAGTTGCAGAAACTCTAGCGGACAGTCATAATAGTCGGATAGATTAAAGCAGCAACTGTTGGCCGAATTGACAGGGATATCTTTGAGATAAATCCTCACAAGTAAAAATATATCGGGGTTCTGGGGATCCACGTTGGGACGCGCGGGCTATATGTACCCCATTATAATATATTACTATAAAATTGCTATTTATAATAGAGTTTGCATGATACACCACACTGACAGCAAATATACCAACCACAAGCGCATACAGTGGAACTTCGGGTGACGATCAATCCCGTCTAGGAGCATTTCAGGTAAGGAGCGAGCCACTAACAGACAAATTGTTTCGAGCGACGAGCTTCCGCTCAGTTAATTAGTTGCCAGTTCGCTTGTGTGCCTGTGTCCGCCGTTGAGTCTTGCTCCCTCGGTCCTCGGTCGCGTACAACCAATTAGTGAACTGTTGCAATTCGATTGGCTACGTTTCGCAAGACGAGCATTCCACGTGACGAGCTCGCTGCCGGAACAGATTAAACTCGTTAACCGAGGTTCCACTTTAAACGCGTTTCGCCGATATGCCACCGCTCCATGACACAGCTGCAAAGAGTGCGGCTTATCAGTGGGACCAACAATGTGATTAAAAAGGGGGGAGGAGGGGAAATGGCAGGGCAGCAGTCGATCATGCGGGGAAGGGAGTGGGCGGAGTGATAAGACGGGGTAGGAAATGTGGTTACGCTCTTTATCGATCTTTACCACAACAACGCGAGGTTGATCACGTGATCCAACTGCTTATAGAGTTCTGATTTTCTTTGCTGTGTTACAGCAGCAGCCTCAGCAAATCGTAGGAGGCGCCCGGTCTCCGCCCGATGCATGACCTTAAAGGCAGTCCTTTGGACGACCGTATGACCAGTGTCCATCAGGTGCTTTGTGATTGAACTCTTGAGTATCTTACTTTCCGCCCTAAGCAGGCATTTTGACATATGTTCAGCTGACCGGGTTGCCAACTGCCTTTGCGTGGGCCCTATCTATTTTCACTCGTTCATGCTCTATTTACCTATCAGGGTTCAGCCTTATAGGTCGCCAAGTAATTAGACACGTTATTTTATCTTATTTATAGACAATAACCATATGCAGTTGAATAAAAGGCCACGAAATTGTATGACGCCATTTAATTATGCACACCTCGTTGTCTTTGCATGATGCCATCTTCTTTACAGTAGAATCTGAGCAGAAGTAAGTGTGATCGCTGGGGCAATAATTTTATTCGCCTGACGTTTCGACATCTGTCCTGGATCCTTCGTCAGAGACGATAACAGAAACCAATTTCTACATTACGAGCTTTCGGTCTACATGAAGGACTGCCCTAATCAGACTGACAAAGATGGCAATCACGCATCACATCCGATAAAGGCTGTGAGTGAACGAGCAGTGAAATTTGGAGGCATTTTCTGTGCACACAGAGTACATAAACAGATAAGGCGGCCAAATTTCAGAAGAAATAAACCAAATCACCTTGTAGGATTTTTTGTGAGCTGATTCATCAACTGCATAAACAGCTCGTCGCACAGGAGGGGGGAATTGAGGGCTGAGCTGAATAGTAGATCTGTCAGAACAATGGCCGGAGCGTCTTTGAGCGTCGCTGGAATCTTTTCACAGTCGCCCATGTATACTTGAATGATACAGAAGGCGAGCACTGCAGCCTCGTAGACCTTGCGGTTGGCCATAGCGACTTCACACACAAAAGGGTACTTCAGAGGAAGGCGCGAGTGCTGCAGGGTGTTTAGTGGCACGGTAGGGGTAGTTGGTGTCCTTTTTAGAAGAAAAAAAACGAGTGAAAAGGTGAGGATGCTCCGCATGGAATAACAATCGATACATACCGCCGGCGTATTAGAAAATATGCTCTTTGTGAGCAACCTTGTAACTCCACGAGTAACAGCATTCTCCATTAAATTGATTGACCATTAACGACATATATGTGGATTGAGAAAAGTCCTCGGAGGGAGCTATGGTAACGTGAAAGCAACGAGTTCAAAAAGTTCGACAACCCACACCCTTGCTTCATCTTGCCGCTGGGACAACTTTACAATAGCGTGGACGTGAATACCTTAGATGTAGGCTGAAAAGCATGTCAAAGGTAGCTGGTGTCGTAATCATTATACATGGGTGACCAGCGTATAACGGACTTTTTGATTAAGGAATAATATGTACTCTTTGGAACAATGTTTTCGTTCATATAGCTGTGCTTCATCGTCTCTTTAATAAAATATGGCTTTGTTATCGTATAAGGTTAACTGTACTGCTTTAATCGAAGTAGAACAGTAGCTTCCCTATCTCATGCAATGTCAACCGAAATTCTGAAATGCGTTTCTGATTGGAACAAAATTCTTCAGTAGGATTATAAAATTGATTAGCCTGCAGCCCAAACCGAAATATTTCAGTCACATCAGGATTCCAGCTTTTCGACAAGCTTCTTCCTGACCATCTGCAAAAACGACGTACTGTCAAAATAGCTACCTAAATGGTATGCATATGCATCACTGATTTGAGATGGTCTCATAAATTAAAATATATTGCTAAAAACATGTACAAAACTATTCATTCAACTTTTGCATCTTAACGACTCATACGCAAACGACGGCCAACTGCGATGCTTCCTAACTGGCGCTTTTAAAATCCTTCATAATATGAGAGTGAAACTTGCCAAAGTTGCTGTCAGGACCCGAGAAATGAAAGCCAACACAGAGGGGGACAAGTGAATTATGTTAGCGGTCAGTGAACGTTCATCAATTGCATTTCCACAGAGTTTGATGTCTTTGTCAGCCCCCGATCAGATTTATACGTTACAACTACACCTGCCATTACGAGTCCCCTGACTAATTAAGGGTAGTCTACCGTGTACTTCACAGCAGGGTGATTTAGGGATAGTGACTTGTGCAGGACTAAAGTGGCAGTAGACTTGTGCTGCACCTACTTGACTCTCTCTTCTACTATCAACCCGGGCTCGGTGTCAAGGCTGAATCAAGAAGACCGAACGCAGGTGGCTGGCGTGACCGAAAGCTCCCCTGCACGCGCCGGATTCAACAGACTGGGAGTGCGATATAGGACACACTAAGAAAGAGTTGTTGCCGCGTGACTATCAGCCCGCCAGTCGGCGAGCCCAAATAGACACACGCTAAGGTGAAGGTGAGGTCCGAATTATCCCGTAAGTTGGCAACCTTCCAAGCCACGGCTTTCAGTGTGCGTGGACAGTACGGACAGTTGCGGTTTTCCCGTCTCTATGCGGCGAAAGCGCAAGTGACCGATCAGGCCGATGCGCTAAGGGCATGTGCGGCAGGAGAGAGTAGGATTAGTTGGGGACTGTAGAGTCGGTTTAGACGGTGAGACTACGAATTTCGGTCATATTTATAGATTTGGCGTTGTTACTGCTGGAGGTGGGGGATTTTTTGAAATGTAAATTGTCATGTACCAACCCAAAAGCGCAAAAGTAAGCATAATTTATTCAGCTTACTGTAATGAACTAAGGAGAAGCGACAACGCACTAATTCGGGGTAGTAAAAACGCGGTTTAGCATAATAAAATATCTCAGGAGGTAGGATATTGGTAAAATTGACGCGAACATCACAACTGCATGAAAAAATGCATAGTTTTTTGACAATGCGTCCTCGCTGTCGGACTAAACACAAGTTGTTGCGGGTAGACATGCCAATTTTGTTCGTCCTACTATTCAGTAGTGCGTTTTTAACTAAATTTGTCTTTTATACTTGAAATAGTACTTACAGATGATTTGCAATATGTACATGCTCATACGATAAATTTATTTTGCACAGAAAAGGACAGGTAAACTAACGTTGATCTTCTGACGGTCTCGTGCTCCAAAAGGTGCGTTGCTGAACGTCGATCATGATTGCTAGGCACATCGACGTAGCTACGGCTGTTATTGAGAAAACAAACCTCACTAACAGGCCGATGAACTTTAGCTGTCGAGCGTTTGCGGAGCTTTTCACCATGAGGACCAATGCTGTTCAGCCAGTCTTGGTTTTCGGCGGAATTAATGAGCTTTGAAAAGGCGTTAATTAACTCCGTCTTCGGTACACCGAGCGTGGGGAGCAGGTAGATATGGCTGACGGGGAACCATCCGGTTTGGAGAGTTCGTTGATTCTCGCCGCAACAGAACCCATCTTGCACAGCACTACCATCAGACGAGGATGGACCAGTACCAGGGGGTCTCGGAACTCCAACCGGCTCTACTTTTGGGTCAAGTTCCCAGCCCAAACAGTCCAAAGCTAGAAAGTCGCCAGGCCTCAACTGGGCGAACTTTCGATTTCCGACTACAGTAAAGCACACAATAAAGAGGTCATAACACTTTTACATTGTTAGGAAAAAATAACAAAAAAGGTAATTTGCGAAACAAAGAAAGCTACAGAATCCCGCAAATAGGCAGCCAAACATAGAAACGCACTGGAGTGTGAAGGTCTAATTTTCCCGCATGTTCAGTTAAACCGACAGCTTCGCCGCCATGAATGACAACGACCACAACATAGCTGTAGCTCGAATGTCGCTCTCGACGATGTTCACAACGAGCTTCTGCAAGCTGAAGGCAGACGCGGTGACTGTAACTGGATTATTGTGAAAATAGACTCGCAGAACGGTCAGTTTCGCAAGATAAGCACCTAGCAACTGACCGGGTGGCTCTTGCAACTACACAGACGAGGGTGGGACAGCCACCACTGCCATCATGCCGCTTGCAAATTCGCTACGGACCACCAGCCGGTATTAACTCCTCTGGATCAGAGAGAGAAGATAAAATTAACCGGGCAACCATGTACACGGCCTGTAAACCCAATGGGAGTGCAAGCGTATACACCAACAGAGAATCAAGTCAAAGAAAAATGCCAGCACACACCAGGCCGTAGGGACCATGGTTTGCTGAAAGGTGGCATTGCATACGCACACAATCCTTAAATCTCAGAAGGGTGTGGGAACAGCCCTGCACTTAGCCTAGGCCTCCACCCTTCAGAGATGGCGTAACCAATCAGTCATCGACTGAGAGGTACTATCCATACTCATCAGCCACTTCACACACCGCACACACTGGGCTGATGGTGCGTCCAGTACATGCTCTAGTTGGCAGAGCGTCCACTACACATAGAGCGTGTGCAGCATGGTGACTTGCGCGATATCTGCCTTGTCTATTTTCCTCTATCACCCACCTTGTACCGATGTCAAGAAAATGGGCGCGGGTGCAGCGGATGACAAAGCTCAACAGCCTGTTTACATGTGCCGGTATCCACTGCACGCAGTAGGCTACTGTAAGGGCGGCTTTTAGTTCGAGCGTGAGAGGTAGCTGGCGTGCTCCCCCCTCCAGGTTCGACACTTGTTAAGGGAGCACAACCCAAATAACGCCTGTCGTACCCTGATCTGGCCCCAGCGTTGGTTCAGCCCATCTACCACGCGGCCAGTGGCATAGCTTATTACTCAGCTATTTATACTGCCATAGGAATTTACTAAGCTTCCGTGTCTATTTGACTCTGGAGAAGGTAGCTCCCTATTAGACAGGAGATGCTATGTAAAGCCTAAGCCAGAGCTAGGTACTGTAGAAAGGTAAGAATCACCCGAAAAACAGCAAAGGTTTCTGCGTTGTGACCCAAAAAAATCTGTAGAACTCGAGTTATTATTAATTAAACGTTTCTTGAACCCTTCAGTCCACTACTTGCCCGATGTACGTTATGATTGCATACTAACCTCCGATTTCCACCGTGCACATACAGGCCGTATTCAGCATACTATTTACTGGTCTAAGTAAGTGTGACTACTAGAATTAGCACTCCTAGCACTGCATATTACTCTAGAAGCACTCTCCTAGTCTTCGCATTTCAAACATAGGAGAAATTGACATAGTTATTGGTGAATAGAGGTAGGACAGCGAAAACCAGGGCAAAACACCGATGTGCTCCAAGCCTCAAAATTATATTACCCGGAATAGCATAAGTCCAGACTCGCACTCCTTGTTGAGATCGAAGGAGTATGAGCTCCAGTGCTGAATTTGAAACAGCGTCACTTCTGATTTAACAATAGCGACAGTAATAATAATAATGAAACTCAGACGAATTGCTAATACGTAGTTTTATGAAGATTAGCAGTATCAATCTCTGTTTCCTTGAATCTACCTTGACGCCTATTGAAGTAACGTGAGGGTAGGCAGTGCGGTAGTACCAGCGCAAAAGGCTACTATCACCTAAGACTAAGTAGGCGGTGTTCTGG